TTTTAATTTGTATTTTTTTATAAGCTTTTTATTTGTTTGTTTGTTTGTTTTGAGAGGTTTTTGCTATAGGGTGCATGCACTCGCCAGAAGGACCGAAAGAGACAGAGAGACAGAAAGTGAGAAATCACCTCCCGGGGGGATGGCCACACCGCAATCCATTCTCCTTCATTCTTCTCCTGGGATCTTAGGCATGCACGCACACACGCCTGGCATGACTTTAAGCCACTGGGTCCGAGACTCGAACCGCGGTTGACTATATGTGAGTCCAGCGACAGCTATTATACTAACTGCCAGTTCTTTTTATTTTATTACATATTTATTAAATTTTATTTATCCATTCACTTATTTTTCAATTTGACCAGAGAGAGACATAGAGAAAGAGGGAAAGTGAGAAAGAAGCCACCAGGTCTGGAACTCGAACCATGGTCAGCCATGTGGGAGTGTCCAGCACCTTAACCACCATGCCACCCTCTGGTTCCTCCCAATATATATAGTGAGGTCCTTTTTTTTTTTTTAAGAGGTTTTTGCTATAGGGCGCGTGCGCTCACCAGACAGACGAGAGAGACAGAGAGACAGAAAGTGAGAAATCACCCCCCAGGGGGGATGGCCATGCCGCAATCCCTTCTCCTCCATTCTCCTCTCAGGATCTTGGGCACGCACACACATGTGCCCGGTGTGAGTTTAAGCTGCCGGGTTTGGGACTCGAACCACGGTCGACTATGTGGGAGTCTAGCGACATAGCCATTGCACTAACTGCTGGTCCCGTACAGCGAGGTCCTTAAACTCATAATGACTTCTCCCAATCTATTTCAACAACACAGTGCTCATTTGAATTTTTTTCCCTGTATTTACAACACTTGTCTTAGACATTGGGAAACTTGACTACCATTTTCCTCAGTCATTTATTTATTTAATCATTCTCTCTTGTATTCACAAATGTCTGATGCAGATGTTTTTCTTCCCTTGTTCAGATACCATACTCCACTCTGGTTGCTGCTGCTCCCTTGCACCACAGTTCTTCTCACCCTTGTTGGGATTTGACACTTGAGTCTACTACTTCCCACTCTCCTGCCATGGTCGCTCTCTTTATCTTGCTCTCACATCTTCTTTACCCTTACCCCCATGCCTTCTGCCTGAGTAGGGAGCCAGCCCTACTCAGCATCTTGCACTTGTATTGCACTGCTCCCTCTACATCATGTTCCTGCCTTATGGCTTTAAAACTAAAGTATTCAAGGTGGAAGGGGAAAGGACAGAAGAATGAATTATTTTATTTTACCTGTTTATAATTTTTTCTAAGAATTATTTTATCTCATTTATTATCATCATTATTATTTATTTTAATTTGACCAGAGAGAGACAGAGAAAGAAAGGGAAATTAGGAAAGTAAGCCTCCAGGTGCAGGACTTGAACCATGGTCGACGCTGCTGCTCCCTTGCACCACAGTTCTTCTCACCCTTGTTGGGATTTGACACTTGAGTCTACTACTTCCCACTCTCCTGCCATGGTCGCTCTCTTTATCTTGCTCTCACATCTTCTTTACCCTTACCCCCATGCCTTCTGCCTGAGTAGGGAGCCAGCCCTACTCAGCATCTTGCACTTGTATTGCACTGCTCCCTCTACATCATGTTCCTGCCTTATGGCTTTAAAACTAAAGTATTCAAGGTGGAAGGGGAAAGGACAGAAGAATGAATTATTTTATTTTACCTGTTTATAATTTTTTCTAAGAATTATTTTATCTCATTTATTATCATCATTATTATTTATTTTAATTTGACCAGAGAGAGACAGAGAAAGAAAGGGAAATTAGGAAAGCAAGCCATCAGGTGCAGGACTTGAACCATGGTCGACCATGTGGGAGTCTAGCACCATAACCACCACGTCACTCACTGGCCCTCCGCCTATAATTTTAGAGCATGTCAAGATATGTGTCTTAACCTTTTCTTCCCACCTGGTTGGTCAATTTTTTCAATAATATTACTGAATAATTTATGTTTTTTCATAGTGATTTAAAATACCGTTTGAATTATTACTAAATTCTTGGGGTATACTTTAGTATGTTTCTTTTTTTTTCCTGTTCCATTGATACGTCTGTTTTCATCTTAGTACCACACTATTTGAAATTATGACTTTATGTACATTTTAGTACATGGTAGAACAGTATTGTCAATGTATTTATTTTTCACATGAACATTAGGATTAACAAAAATATTATCAATTATAATGGAGTTATTGTGAAATATTGTCTTAGAGATGACTTTTTTTTGCAGTATTGACTCTTCCCTTCCAGAAACATAGTCTGTCAAGTTTATGTTGTTGATTTTTGTTGTTCATGATTTATTTTGTGATAGTTAATGTTAAAATATGTCACTTTAGGGCCATTAGGTGGCATGGTGGTTAAGGGATTGGATCCCACATGGCAAAGTATGAGTTTGAGTCCTGGACCTGGTGATCTAAAAAAATACACTGGGTGCATATGCTTGTGTGCCCAAAATCCCCAGAGAAGAATGGAAAAAGAAGGATTGTAGTGTGGCCATCCTCCCTGGGGAGTATTTTGTCATTTTTCCTTCTCTGTCTCTCTCTGTTAGTCTCTAGTGCGTGCATGTGCCATGTGGCAAGAAAAAATAAGTCACCTAAAACAGTTAATAGTACAGTAATATTTTGTTCATATATATTCAGTATGCTTAATATGGAACATGCAGTTCTGAAATGATAGAAGTGATTGGAAAGTGAATTGTTGAGTTTTGGAAGACATCAATCCTTAATGGATGGTAGTAGATGAAAATTTTGTGAACATTTATTTGCTGAATATTTACTATAGACCTATTTAGTATCAATTAAAAGATGTAAAGAATTAATAAAATAGTTTTTCCTTTATGTAGGCCTCTTGATTAGAAAGACAAATAAATAATTGCAATGTTATATTAATGTATATTATTATATAAAGTGAATGGAATGTAAAGAGAACATAATAAAAGGTGGCGTATTTTTATTTAAGGAATTGAACAGGGCATAAAAAGAGCTGATGGAGCTTTGCGGAGCAGCTAGGAATTTCACTTGTGGAAAAAAGGATCAAATATTGTTCGAAACAGAAAGTAATGTTAGCTAGGTTAAAAGATATACAGGGAGGTGGTAGGCAGTTTGAGAGAATACTAAATACTATTGGGTTGCTGGAACATTAGAAGAAAATAAGAGGAAATTTCCTAGAAAATCTGTATACTATATTAGAATTGGAGAGAATTGTAGTGATCTGTTGTAAAATTGTCTACATGTCAGATATGTAATGGCCAATTTTTATATTGTTTATCATCACATTTCTGTACTTATTTATCACTATTATTATTACTTTTTTTTAAAGAGGTTTTTGCCTTGGCGTGTGCACTTCCAAGGGGAGAGAGAGAGAGAAAGAGAGAGAAGAGAGAGAAAGAGACAGTGAGAGGGGAAGTGAGAAATCACCCCCAGGAGGGATAGTTATGCCACTGTCCCTTCTCCTTCATTCTCCTCCCAGGATCTTGGGCATGCACACTCATGCACCCAGCATGAGTTTCAAGCCATTTGGTCCAGGACTCAATCCACAATCTACCTTGTCGGAGTACAACGATATAACAGCTGTTCTGTCTGGTGGTCCCTATTTATTATTATTTTTAAAGTTTATTTTCTGAGAGAAAGCCGGGAGGCAAGAGAGGTACTGCTGACAAGACCTCACCATGCTAGCATCCATCCAACCCCAGCCTCCCACCCAGGCCAGATGAGGGGCATGTATGCCTGGCATGTTGAGGTTGATCATGTGACTGAGTTCCAGACACAAGACCCTCCTTTTATGGCTCTGCAATTTTCCAGTGGCACCCTACTACCTGCATCACTCTAGATGGCCTTTTTGTTTTCATTGTTTCGACTGTCCGTATTTTTTTTTTTTGTATATATCAATTACTCATTTGACTAAGTACATATTTTGTTATGAAACATAACAAGTAGTATATTTTCCTTTACTTTTCAGAAAGGTGAGCATTAGGTCCAGGAAGGAATTTGTGAACTTTATTGGAGTGGAAGCTTGTATTGTTCACAGTAAAAGAAGTACTCATTTTAGAAAATATCCATTGAAAAAGTACTTGGTAGGTGATGTAGATATCTTATACATATCCTTTCGAATCGTTGTTTTTTAGAGAGAGATTTTTGCTAACAGGCATGTGTGCTTGCTGGAGACACACAGAGAGAAAATGAGAAATTAACTCCATGAGAGGATGGCCATACCACAATCCCTTCTTCTCCTTTCTTCTCTTGGGATTTGGGCATGAGTACACACATGCCCGGTGTGAGTTTCATGCTGCCCCATCTGAACTTGAACCATGGTCAGTCATGTGAGAGTTCAGTGCCTCAACCACAACACCAACTGCTGGCCCCTGAGTAGTCTTTATTAGTTGCATGACCCAGAAGGAAAGAACCTTTATAAGTATAGGAAGGATAATAGTAGACTAGAGAAACCCCAAACACCAAAAAACATGGTATCATTGAATTATAAAAGCTTAAAAACAGGTGGAAGTGGAAGTCATAGAAATTACGGGACCAGCAGGTTGCATAGTGGTTAAAGTGCTGGACTCCCACATGACCAACCCTGGTTTGATTCCTGGACCTGGAGACTTTATAAACTCAGGCTGGTTGTATGTGTGTGTGTGCACCCAAAATCCCAAGAAGAAAATGGAAGAAAAGGGGTTGCAGTATAGCCATCTCCCTTGGGTGGTGATTTCTTGCTTTCCGTCACTCTGTCTTTGTCTCTTTGGTTCACGAATGTGCCCTTATAGCAAAAATCAATGAAAAAGAAAAAAATGAAATTGCTAGCCAAGTCTCTTCTGATTTTCTCTCAAAAGTCATAGTGGTAGATAACTATCAAGTTTTTCTCGGTATGTTTAGTTTCATTGTAAAAGATATGTTTGAAAGTATTCTATCCTATTTTTAGGACTCCTATTAGTGGCATTTAAAAAATTAGTTTATTATCTGTTGATGGAAAATGTGTATAGTATTCTCAACTGGACTGAGATGTGTATCATGCTGTTTTGGTAAAGTCTCTTTATAATTTAAACGATATATAGTGATTGAATGTATAAATAATAATAATAAAAGAAAAATGTTTTAAAAAATTAGTAAAACTATGGGACCAGAGGTTGGCGTGATGGCTATGTCTCTGGACTCCCATGTAGTTGACCGTGGTTCGAGTCCTGGACCTGGTGACTTAAACTCATGCCAGGCACGTGTGTGTGTGCATGTCAGGATCCTGAGAGGAGAATGGAAGAGAGGGGACTGTGGTGGGGCCATCCCCCCTGGGGATGTCTCTTTCTGGTGAGCTCACACGCCCTATAGCAAAAACCTCTCCAAACAAAACAAAACAAAACAAAAAAATAAAACAATTAGTAAAACTACACATTTCACCTATTCATCTGTTGATGTAGTCAATATTTGTGGCATGTTGTATTCTTTTTTAAAAGTTTTTGCCATAGGGAACTATGCTTGTGAGGGAGGGGGAAGAAGAGGAGAAAAGAGAAAGAAGTCACTAAGGGGGGGGAGGGCTGGCTACGGAGCAATTCCTTCTCTCAGGATTTTGAGCATTCAGGCACATGTGCCTGTAGTGATTTTCAAGTTGACAGGTCTGGGCTATAACCACGGTTAGTCATTTGGAAGTCAGTGCCTTAACTATCATGTCACTTGCTGGCCCCATATGGCATGTCATCTTTTATGTACCGGTTTTACCTGGATGGACAGGCATGTATAAATTAGTTACTATATACAGTGTAGTGTGTGCAAGGATTCTGGAAGTACTGAGGAAGTTTATTTAACCTAGTCTAATAGAACTGACAAAGAGGAAGAAGGTATTTTAGAAAAGGTTGTAACCTCTTAGAATTTTAGGGGATAAGAGGACAGCAGGTGCTGGTGGTGTGTGTCTGTATGTATGTATATAGAAGTAAAGTTAATTGGGGACCAGCAGATAGTGTAATGGTTACATTGTTGGATTCCCATGTGGTTGACCATGGTTCAAGTCCCAGACCCAGCAACTTGAAACTCACGATGGGCACATGTGTATGCGTACCCAAAATCTCAAGAGGAGAATGGCAGAGAAGGGATTGTGGTGTGGCCATCCCTTATTCTTTTTTAAAAATTAATTAATTAATTAATTTTACGTTTTATCATATATCTTTACAGTATACATTTCTTTTTCCAACACAAATACCATGCATGTTCGTCAAGACAAGGATATTACTGTATACATTATCATCAGCAAATAGCTTCTCATTTTTTGTCAGTTAAGCATACTTTTACCCATTTTTCCTTTCCCTTTGCCTTCCCTCCCTCTTCCATATTAGACTTCCTCTCCCCCACCCCACATTTTATTGATTCACAAAAGTTCTTAAAGTATGGACAAATCTAGAATCTAGTGACAAATGCACTGTGATTTTCTTCTGAAACATCTTTTTCCTTTCTCTGCATTTCCCTTTTTACTAAATAGAAGTATAAACTAACTTATTTGGGAAAAAAATTAGGTTAATCTTAATTTGGCCTGTTATTTGGACAAAGCCCCATAAGAATTCAATTTCTGATATAAGGCAACAGATACTATTGTATTATTGAACTTATGCAAATAACCATTCTGCCATAAAAATGCTCATAAATATTTTCCAGTTGCAAAGGGATCAGGAAGGCAGAAAAGTTTCTTTTAATTAAAAAAAATCTTTTCTTAACAGTGCTGAACCCATCAACTCAAAAGAAAAAGCAAAAATTCTTAAATCTGAAAGATTTGAAGAAAATAAGTAATGTTTTTGAAAAAAGTAGTAGAACTCTATTTTACCAATTCAGTCTCTTGTAATCTCTCTCTATTGAATTTGCAGTGTTACTGCGGTCTGACCTTTCTGTTAACATTCAACATTATTATCGATATTTCAGAACTTGTCTCTACCATTAAGTTGGCCCTTTTCTTGGTCATTGTTTGTTCTCTTATTTTTCTGTCTTAGTTTTCCTGGTATAGTGCTCCCTTAAAAACTTCTTGAAGAGTTGGTCTGGTGTTGGTAAATTATTTCAGGTTTTGTTTATCTGAGAATGTTTTTATCTTTTCTTCTCATATGAAGGATAATCTTGCCGGATATAGTATTCTTGGTTGAAATTGTTTTTCACTTTACACTTTGAATGTATTTTCCCATTCTTTCCCTGCTGGCATTGTTTCCCCCAAGAGGTTCAATGTTTGCCTGATGGAATATCCTTTGAATGTAACTTGATGTTTTTCTCTTGCCAGCTTTATTATCTTATCTCTGTCTGTGGTTTCAATCAATCTGGTTATGATATGTCTTGGAGAATATCTTCTTGGGTTGATTACTATTATTATTATTTTGAAAGTTTTTTGCTATAGGGCACGTGCGCTCGCCAGAAAGACAGAGACAGAGAGACAGAAAGTGAGAAATCACCCCCCAGGAGGGATGGCCACGTCGCAGTTCCTTTTTCTCCATTCTCCTCTCGAGATCTTGGGCATGCATGCACATGCACCTGGCATGAGTTTAAGCCACTGGGTCTGGGACTTGAACCATGATTGACTACATGGGAGTCCAGCAATATAGCCATTACGCCAACTGCTGGTCCCCTTGGGTTGATTCTATGTGGTGGGGTCCTTTGTATTTCTTGGGTGTGGATACTTGAATGCCTCTCTAGGTTTAGAAAGTTGTCTTCCAGGATTTCATGGAATAGATTATGAATGCCCTGATAAGTTTATTCACCTTCTGGGATACTGATTATCCAGATGTTTGGGTGTCTAATGGTATTATTCATATGTTATTCTCTCTCTCTCTCTCTCTTTTTTTTTGGTGATTTTCTCAGTCTTTTTGGTGAACTTTTCTAGGTCAGAGGTTCTATCTTCTACATCTGAAATTCGATCTTCTGTATGATATAATCTGCTTTTAACACTTTCAAGGGAGGTTTTGAATTCCTGTATTGCAGCCTTTATTTCTAACAGTTCCGTTTGATTGTTTTTTTTGTCGTGTGTAATTTCCTCTTTCAGTGGAACAACTTTCTTACCTCCTAGAACTTGTCTCTTTCTCCTGCATCTTCTGGAGTTTGTCTGTCTTCTCTTGCATTTGTGTTAGCTTTGTCACTATGAATATCCTCAATTCTTTTTCTGACTTTTCCATAAGTTCCATTGTACTGTCTGTAAATGATGAAGGGCTGTTATTTCACCTTGGGGGAGTGATATTTTCTAGATTTCCCATATTTCTTGTGCCTCTTTGGTGGTGGTTTCTAGTCATCTGACAGATTTATTGTACTTCCTACCTTCTGGCTTCACTTTCTACCTTCTGGCTTTTTGTTGGGTGTTGGGCCTGAAGAAGAAGTTTGGGGCAGAGGCTTTCCTGTTAAAGGGGTAGGGCTAGGCCCACCTCAGATGCACATGGATTCTGACTTTTCACTCACCATCCCTTATTCCTTATTCCCGATTTCTCACTTTCTCTCTGGTGAGTGTGCACGCTCTATAGCAAAAATCTATCTTAAAAATAAAAAATGTAGAGTTAATTGAAGCATTTCTTAGAACAAAGACAGTAAGCTTTACATTCTTATCATATGTTCATCAAATTTGATACCTTGTTTGTAAAACAAATCTTAGATCTACACATTGTTCATTGGCACTTACTAACAAGATGATAATAAGGCCCCAAGATATAATTCACATTTCTACTCAAATATTGGACATTTTTACTTTTGTACATAGCTAATAAATTTTTGTTTTTGCTTGGTACTTTTTAGTAATTACTGAAACTAATGCTTAATTCTTGAATCATTTGGAAAAGCAAAACAATCTTGCAGTTCCATCTGTAGAAAAATCCTTTTGCTCTTTTTGATGCCATAACCTATTTCCATTTTAAATTTCCCTGTATGGCTTCCCTCTGTTATCTTTGTCCTTTTTCTGTATCCCTTTGCCTCTATACGCAGATACATATATATATTTTTAACTTTGTTTAAGTTTTTTGTCATTGGGCACATGTACTTGCTGGAGCGAGACAGACATTAAGAGGGAAAGTGAGAAATCATGCCTCAGTGAGGATGACCACACTGCAGTTCCTTTCTTCTATTCTCCCCTTGGGATTTT